ATTTTCCAAAGTTTAAAAGGAAAATGAGCATTATACGGGGAAAGTATATATGTTTGTACAGAAATGCTGAAAGCCTTCCGTGACGGTGTTGGTAATAATGATAATCAGAGTATGTTCTGAGACTTATCTGGGTGAAACTGTGAGGCTCAAGGAGCTCTGTCAGGATAAGGTATCCCTGCTATCATACGAGTGAGTGGATTGTTTGGTTTGTGAATTCTCTCAGCTGCAGTCACCTGCCACGTGGGTCAGTTTGGGTCCAGCAGCAGTACGGCAGGGCAGTATGGTACTGACTGAGTCCACTGGCTGCTAGCTTGTGGATCTCTGCTCTGTAGCAAATATTGCCACTGGATCCTCCTTTTCTTTTAAGATAGTATCTTTCTTTCTTTCTCTACTGTAATTTATTACAGGCTTCTCAGAGTTGACTCTACACAGAATCTAACAGTCTACCTGTCACTTCTGAAGACTGTTGTCATCTTCTGAAGTCTTCATTGACATAGCACAGTGAATGCACTTCCATTTGGCGTCTGTATGCCTGTCTGTCTTCCACCTTGATACCATATCTATCTAGTGTGTGTATGTTTTGTGTATAAATAAGATGTTAAATTGTATAATATGCTTAAGGGCGCACTGTACGCGTATGAGAATCTGAGGCATTTAAGTGCCTAATAATAATTTCAGAAGCATTAGTTAAAAGAATTCTCTGAGGATCTTTGGGTATCTGAGGTTGAAGTATAGCTTAGACATTGATAATGAAAAGAAGTCATTAAAAAAATTAAATGGAGTGCTTTATCTGAGCTTCCGATTTTGTGACATGAAACAAGCTCTTACTAATAGCAGTTTATTACATAATTGCATTCCTCATTTTTTTTTGAAACAGACAGCATGGCCCAATATAGAAGACAGAGTTGTGGTTTTAACTGGGCATCAGTATGGTCAGTCTTGTGTATTTCATTTGAAATTGTTTTATTTTGGGAAGTGTTTCCCCAGAGACTTCATGTAGGTGGCACTCGTAGTTGTTACTAGTGTTTTGAACCTTGTGACTATTAATCCTACTCTGATAAAGATTAGGAAACAAGTTACTTAAAATGATAGTGGTCACTGGCATTTGGTCTCCTTCAGGTCTTTTTATTGCTAGCCCAAGTAGAGCTGAGCCTACTGTGGGGAGCACTGGTCGCGTGTTCACAAAACGGTAACTGCTGTTGTCTGTGCACAGCTGGCTTTGTTAGGATTTACTGCTTGCATCTCTTCAGTATTTGTACTCAATGAGCAGTTGCAAATGCTTACATTTAAAGAATTATGTTTTAAAATGCCATTTAAGTTTTTTTCTTAATCTGCATGTTATATTGTACATGAGAAATACAAGGAAATCACTGGAGATTTAAGAGGATGAGAGGTTTGAGTCAATCACTTGAGCTTCAATTTAGTAATGCAAATCTGCCTGTAAGTGACCTTATTGATGTTTGCTCAAAGTAGCTTCCTCTTGGTACAAATGACTGAGCTTTGTTGTAGCTATTGTACAGGTAATGTACTGTCCCTTTAGAGATTGCCTTTGTATCCCTGATGCAACCTCTCTTTGCTTTAACAGAGAGTGCCTGCAGAAATGCCTGGAGCTAAGATAGATTGCATCGGTGTGCCTCATTTGATCATCTGTCAGCAAGGGAGGGGGAGGATAGGGCAGGCAAAAACATGTGCCCATTGCTCTATCCCAGCTCTTGGAAATTTGAGGGTTTGGCTGTTGGTGAATGATGTTCAAGCGGAGAGCTTGATACCAGAGAATGAAGGACGTGACAGCATATCTGAAAGGGTCCTGACCGCTTCTGTGACTTACGCCTTGAAGAGATGTGGCAAGCGACTGTTGCAAGTTTAGGGTGTGAGGGGGTAGCCGGATTTTGAGCAGTGCTAGTAGGGTGGTGCAAATAGCGCTAAGCACCCATGTCTTGAGGAGATAGTATTGTATAATAAACAGTGCCATCTTCTGGGAGGAGATGGAATGATGCCATTGTGGTCAGCATTAAAGATGTTTTTAAAGTGCGGGGGTTTTTTGATTGGGTTGGTTTTTTTCTCTCTATCTAATAAATGCTTTGAAGAACAAAAAAACAGAAGTTTAAAGATGGTGTTAGTGTCTAGTAATGCAAGTCCACATCTGTGAATTATCACTGATACAGTCTTGAAGGAAAAGTTTTAAACTGTGTTTTGGAGTCTGTTTAAAAGAACAAAAGTTTATCAACTGCTGAGCGGTACGTCAGAGAAGTAAATCTCAAAAATAAAAGTTAAGGACTTGGTCTGCTTTGTATGCTGAAGTCCATTATTATTTTTGTAAACATACTTTGTAAAACCTAGATAATTGCAACATCTTTTCTCAGAGGAAGCATAGTGACCTATGGGAAAATGTTAAAGATCCAAAGGAAGAATGATTACTTTGTCTGTCTTTTATTGCTTTTAAGTTGTTATAACGCCTCCTTTTGGGGATGTCAGAAGGGAAAAAACGTTTTCTGTCTTAAAATTATTATCCTATAAATAGTTAGATTTGGGAAATATTCACTGTGGTGCAAAATCTGGGATTAGAGTTACTAAAATTATCCTAGCAAGTGGAATGTAAGATTCAGCATTTACTGAGACTCATTAATGGTGTCAGATCAATCACCTGAACTCTTACTTGGAGGAAGTGAGCAATTTTAGTAACATTAATGGAACTATATGGGAAATGCAGCTGACATTGTGAGGGGGTTTTTTTGTTATACACTTTCAAATAAATAAATAAATAAAGGAACCCAAGCAAAAAGCCAATAACAAAGTATAACCATTATGGAGGGAGGGGAAAAGAAGAATCAATGTGTTAAAAATCTTTATTGCTAAAATAAATTACTTAAGGTATATCCAGTATGACAAGAATTGGTAAGCTCTGGATAGGCAGATAGATTTGGAATTGTTTTTATTGCATCATGATTGTCTAGGTAATTTACCAGCAAAGATGCAATGGAATAATAGTTTCTAAAAAAAAAATAATTTCTTTTGCATTTAAATTGTAAGACTATTCTGAGTATGTCGTATTAAACACACTATAATCAGTACATTTTGTATTCCAGAGAGTCTCATTTTAATGACCATAGCGTCTGAGGTTTCTGGATAGTACAGTACTTAACTGTACAATTAATTTGTAGATAAATTGGTAATTGAATGTGTATTTACTTTTTCAATATTAATTTCAATAAATACTGCCTGTCACACAGTATTTAATAGATAAAGAAAATGTCTTAACTTTCGGTATATTCTGAATGCTTAACAACATAAATTGTTACTGTGTGTAATCTTTGTGTTTATGCAAGTCCTCAGTATTACAGTTAGGACTTTAATTTCTGACATCTGAAAGTAATTTAGTGTTGACCCATGTTGATTTTAAGTTGTTGATAAAAATCAGATGTTGAAGTTTCCATTGCAAGGGGTGGTGGTCCTTGAGCATACCTCATGCTAAGTACTATATTTCCTTAGATACAATTTAAAAACTTCTTTTGTCTTGTAATTCAGTAAATTACTTCTCTGTAGTTTGGGAGTAAAGTATGTATAACAATATTTTGCTGCAAACTAGTCTGAAAAAATATTGCCCTATACATTTGGAACACTGTGTGTAGATAAACCTATTAACTCTTAACTAGTGTGAGACGATGTTTCACCGGTGCAGTGCTGTAATGGACACAAAGTTATTTAATAGAATTTTTTTGGTTATTGGTGGTGATTGCTATTCTTTGTGGCTTTTAATTCTGTTTTTTTTGTAATCACTCATGCTCTTGGAAGTCCTAGTTCAAACCATCTGTAAGAGCTATAGTTTAAGACAGGTGAACAACTCTCTCTGAAATCAGACTTCAAGATTTTCAGAATGGATGGCACAGTATGTTATTATCCAGGTTCCCATTAACTTGGAAAATGCTGTTCCAAATATCTGGAAAACACTATGTGAATAGACATGATAAGTGAAAATATAAGAAACCCTGTTTAGCAAAGGAAGAATGCAGTGGAGCTGACACTGAAGCTGCCCTCTTTTCCATCTGACTGAGAATTTCAGCAGTGCCATTCAATACAAGAAGCAAGGTGGTAACTTAGCGTTAAAGTGGACGCTGACCATCTCTCTTGGGTTTCCTACATCGTAATCTTGTTTTCTGGTTGATAGGATGTAGACTACAAATGGTAGTATTTCTGGAAAGACAGGTCAGAAAATGTCTGGTCTTAAAACTAAAATTGTTCTAATTAGAAATATTTTTGTTAGTAACTGAAAAAGTAAGCTTTTTTTAACTGAATACTGCCTAATATTTATGCAAGCTGAAGGATACCAATGGAGTAGATAACTTCAGGGAAGTAATTTATATTGAAGCGAAAACAAGAATAATGTATACTGTGTAAATAGTAGTTATAGCCTGATCAGAATACTTCTACATGTGCCAGGATTATGAATTCTGCCTTACAGCAGTTGTTGATGTCCTATTTGGAAAGCTGCTCAAAGTTTGTTGTTTATTTTTTGGTGTCATCGTTGTCATCCCCCCCCACCCCACCCCACCCCTGGAAGTAGTCAGTATCAACTACAGTGGAGCAAGTTACAATAATTTGAAGTTGCTTAAAATTTGTGGTGTCTATTCTTCCTCCAACCCAATAATAGAATTTTTTAAAAGATCCCTTTAGGTGTACATGAAAACGTTTACTAAAACTTTAGAAAAAAATTCTTTAAACAGTTTCTATCAAACACAACTTACACTTAATCCTATTTTTGTAATTTATGGTATGAGCCTTTTTCAAATCTCTTTTAAGATATTTATCAACACCACTTAATGATAAACAACAGGCAACTTGCACTTAATTTTAAGGAATAGTTGACAAAGCTTACTGGTTTCATGACTAATGGTAAGCAGGTATTTTGCGTAGTTAAAACTTGAAGGCATTTTATTCTAGGCCCCTAAGATCTTAGAACTAGTGAATTAATAGACTAACTTACTTCCCATCTTCTCACACGCAGGCAGAAGGAGAAGACAGCCTTAAAAAGATGCAGCTGATGGAGCTTGCAATTCTGAATGGCACCTACAGAGATGCCAACATCAAATCACGTAAGCATGTCATAAGCTCGAGGGTCAATGCCATAGTAATGTTTGCAGGTTTTGATTCGTAAAGCTACTTGTTGGCAAATGTACAGTAGCAACTGTGTTGGAGAATGGAAGGCCGTAAAAAACCAACAGAACAGTAGGTAGCCGTTGCAAAAGATCTTCTGGAGATAAGTTATGTCAGTTTGGGGGGTTTTTTGTTTGGTCCGTGTCTTGCCTCCCCCTCCCTTTTTTCAGACAGTATGTCTGGGTTGAAATATTGACAAAAATACAGTTTAAAAAAATTCAACCCTTAAGCCACATTTTTCTATTTTACAATAATTTTTTCCTTAATACCTATAAAGGACAACAGACTGCTTTTCAATTTTATTTTTAGAGATTTAATTTGAAAATGTTACAGATGTTCAGGATACTGTGAATACATTTTTCTGTATTATATTCCTTCCTTTCATCTTGCTTGCATGTGTCCCCCCAGTGTTATGTTTTTCCAACAATTCATCAACTGATTTCACAGCTGAGTTCACAGGGATCAGTGATGTAATGAGCCATTTTTATGATTTCTTCCATTACATTCGTGTGAGAATGCTTTTGCAAACGCATGTATGCACAGGTTTACACTTGAAAATTAATTACATACACCTACTAATGAGAGCATATGCCTATTATGTGTGATACAAATTATTTTCTCTGGTTGAAAAGCTAATTTCTCCTCCTGGAAATGTAGTTGCTGATACTGTTCCAAAGTAAATTTTTGCTGTAGCTGTGATACAGATGTCAAATGTAAGCACAGTTACATCAGTCTTTTCACTAAGGGCCTACTGATATTTGCAAATTTGTTTCTCCGCATAGTTACCGTTTCAATGTTGAATATGTTTAAAGGTTGGAATGCAGTTAGGTCAATTTGAGACTGCTTACACCAGTGTAATTACTCTGATTTGAAAAGAGATGTAAGCAAGGGCTTTTACCACTACAATGGTAGTGGTAAATCTTTCAGTCCTAATGAACGCTGTAATATTTAAAGCTAGATCAGTTTTAAATATATTTTAGTGTCTAAACTATTGCAAATTTGTGAGTAAAATAGCTTTCAGATTAGCTTAAATTGACGCAAATTGTTGCATAGAAACCTTTATATTAATCTGAGCAATTTCTTTGTCTGATGTATTCCCATTGGTCTATTGTGTCAGTGCAAGTGGGAAGATGGATTTTTTTTTTTCCCCTCTTTAGTTTTTGACTAGAGATTTCCACACTAATACTCACTTTTTGATAATACTGAGAACTTGAAGATGTAGAAGCCATATTGGTTTATTTCTGTTTAAGAAAGGAAATGAAAATGTTTGAGGTTTTTTTTTTTAATTATACATTAAGTCTGAGCATTTTTGTTTAAAAAGAATTAAAAAAACACAACAGTCTCATATCTGAAAAACTTCCCCCACATTTCTCTTTTCAGACCACCTGTAAGTTAATTAAATCAATGTACATCAACAGTAGTGCATAGAAATCTATAAATTACAACCCTTTAAGATTGACTGTTACCAGCTGATGTGTTACCGTTTAAGAAGTTGTTCATCTTGTGTGCCAACAGACTTCAAATAACACTTAATGAAATATGCTAGCACCATTTCAAAAAAAAAAAAGTACATCTTTTCTTTTACTTAAGCAAGGCCATAGTGAACTTCTAATACAAAGAAAGTATTTTGTTTTGGGGAATTTGATACGGAAATCACTTCTGAGTCTGTTTTATTCGTGCTAGAGTAGGAGAGGAGATGCATTGTGTTTCTAGGCCATCTTTAACTTCACTGATCCTGGAAACTGGAAATATGTATATGTTTAAATACAATTTTAAGATGTATAAAAACTGTAGATTCATACGGCAGCTCTGCATAACTGAGTATCTGTGGACTCTATAGTTGCACTAAATTTTGTACTCTGTATTTGATTATGACAGTATTTTCCTTGTATCTCCTGCATGCATCTCAGTCTCATGCAGTCTTGATAGCATAAATGAAGAAATGTGGTCTAAATGGAGCTTTTGTGCTGTGTAACCTGTTTGAGAAATCTACCTCACTGTTTTACAATGGCTTTTTTATTTTGCATGTTCATACTTAATCACACTGGAAAATGGAAAGCTGTTTGCATTTGAATGGTGTGCTTTGGCACTGTGTGATCAGCGCATGTACTAATGATTTCCTTTTATTTTTCTTCTTTCCTACTTTTCCCCTTTTTTTCCCATTCTTTCCACGTTTTGTACTGCTATCTCCATACTTTCCTCTGAATTTCTTTGCTTACTGTAGCAGCCCTTGCCTTTTCTCTTGCAGCAACAGCCCAGGCTCCAAGGATTATTACTGGGCCTGCGCCTGTTCTCCCACCAGCTGCCCTGCGTACTCCTACGCCAGCTGGCCCTACCATAATGCCTTTGATCAGACAAATACAAACCGCTGTCATGCCAAACGGAACTCCTCATCCCACCGCTGCAATAGTTCCACCTGGACCCGAAGCTGGTTTAATTTACACACCATATGAATACCCCTACACGCTGGCACCAGCTACATCAATCCTTGAGTATCCTATTGAACCTAGTGGTGTATTAGGTAAGATCTTTGTACGCGGATGACTGGAGAAGATATTGCTTATGCTTTTGTGATATTTGCAAGGTAGAGGTCATGGGGCTCAAAGAAAAATTTGAAGCAACAATCTTACCTCAGGTGTATCAAAACTGCCTAGGAAAACTGCTCAAATGGTGTAACTCTTAAAGATTTTAACATGTTTTACGTTATTAAATGTGTGTTTAGTATATTAAGAAGATTACTGAAAATAAAATCTTAATGTTTGTATGACACTAGATGGTGGATACATAGGCAAGGGAGAAAAAAGCAAATAGAGTTTGACATCTATTATATGTCATTTGGGCTCCTATAAATACCAGATTTCTTTGTGCTCTCTTCAACATAAATTAATTTCCAGTAATCTTCGGAAGAGAGAACTTCCTATTTTGCTATACCTTTTTAGTAGCAAAACTGGAGAGAATGGAAAGGTCTTTTTTCAGTTTATTGGGGTTTTTTCCTTCTTTATTTAGTACACAACTGATAAATCTCTCCTCAGTGTCAGAAAGCTGTAAATAATTTTGTAAGCAGAAAATAATTTAAGTGAATGAATATAAAGCAAACTAAGTTCTGACCAAAGGATGATACAATTAGCAACTTTACTGATGTCTTCTTTTATATACATTGGATTGAAATGTCCGTCATTCCTAGTATTTCAGACCATTGACTTGCTGCGTGAAGGCGAGAATGATAAAGCAGCCGTGACAATTCCGTTTACTGGTCAATATGGAACAACCAGTTCCAATAGTTTCTTCCTTCCCTACCCTCTACAGAATCTAAATAATCTTTTCTCTTCAGCTTGTTCTGAATTGCTTGGTGCTGCATAATGTTGATTTTATAGGACTTTGATCTTAGTTTGTTCAGTGGCAGTTATTGATTTACACAAATTTTAAACATCTCTAATGAACACCGGACAATAAGGTTCGAAGTCAATATTTTGTTGAAAGTATTGCAAAAGATCAGTATTTCACTTACGTGACAAATACTTGTTATCTGTATGTGTGCATGTTCCCATATTATACAGTAAAAAAGAAAATGTATTTCAGACTTATGCCTTTCAGGATTAGTGAATCAATAATAAAAACTTTTGTAGGACAAAAGTATGCAGTTAGATCTGTCTTTGAGCAGCTTACAGTTGTTGTCCATTACCCCATAGCCAAAACCCAGCGAGCATATGATAATATCATCATTTATTAATTTCCCACGAACATGTAAATGTTCTCCTCAGGTCCTCCACCCCCAATCTGCAAGTCCACTTGCAATACATTCTGGGCTAAAGTCACAGTTACAGGCATCGTCATGGTAGCTATCAGTTGCTGGTTAGTGGCAAAGCCCTCTCCTGAATTCAGTTAATAGCAAGTAAAGTAATACATCATTCCATAGTAATAATTTAATACGACGCAGGGAACTTTGATTTCTCGCAGGATTTTCTATAAAGAGAGAGGAGGGGAAAATTACTCCTAAAATGGCATCTGAAACCATTGCATTCTTTTGGGCTTAGCTGTAAGAGCACAGGTGTATTGCCCAAAACAGATGTCACCAAATAATCTTACGTAAAAAAGGAAAAGGGAGGGGAAAAAAAAAAGACCACACTCTCACTTAGGTAGCATAGAATCAATAACTCTTAATACATCTGCTCTATTATCTGAGCAGTTGTATAGAGTTAATTGCATTAAATTAGTTTTTCATTGAGTTTTATTTCATAATACACTCATTCTCATTAATGGTATGCTATATTCTGTCCATTTTTGTGGTGGACCTTTAAGATGTCTTAAAATAATTCTGTTAAAAATGGCAGAGAAATGCATCCCTATCAGTATTTTTGGGGATATTGGTGTTGGGATCAAATTTTAGTTGGTGACTAACTTTTAATTCCCTTCCTTTTATCTTCAGGTATGGCTTTCCCAACGAAAGGCTAAGAATTCAAGAACGGTCTTAACTGATCCTTCATCAGATCTGAATTTTAACAAATGCTTAGTTTCAGCAGCCTTGAAAAAAGCTTGGCCTAGCAGTCAGTGACTTACTTGCACTTTTTTGCACATAGATTTAAAATAAAATAGTGCTATTAATTTGGATTAGCTCCTATTATTACAGAGTAGCTGTAATTTATGAGTGTATAGTAGTATACTGACTGCTAAGTGTTCTATATAGTGTTTGCTTTACTAATCACCTAATTCATTGCAGTTCATACTTATTGACTTAAAGTTTAAAATCACAATCTGTAGGCTTGAAGAATTGCTTTAAAACTTTTTTTTTTGTGGTAGAACTGGAAGTGATCTTAAGGTTAGCAAATAATTGTCAGTATTAAAAGATGGCATTATTTAAAATAGTCCTGCTGCAAGAAAGGCACTTCAGTGAATATGTGACTAGTAAAGCTTAAATGTGCTTGGGTCTAATAGATTTCATGAAATACTGTAATTTTGGGATTGTAAATGAATGGATTAAACAGGTTAAGGCCAGGATGTTTAAAATAAATGCAATATTAATCTGCACAGATAAACTTCTTTTTAAGATTAAGATTTGAAACTACTGTGCCTTAACTTGTTGCTTTTCTTAAAATGAACTTTTGTAGTTAATGATCATTTAAATCCATTTTGATAAACCTGCTGTTAATGTTTTCTTTGAATGTTTTCTAACTTTGTCTTGGTAATTGCAATTTAACTAGGTGCGGTGGCTACTAAAGTTCGAAGGCACGATATGCGTGTCCATCCTTACCAAAGGATTGTGACCGCAGACCGAGGTTAGTTTAGTTCTGCAGTTCTTGTTTGTAAGAAGTGCTTTGAGTGTACATGAGATTTGCAACACCACAGCTGGTTAACCAAATACCATATTTTGACCCATTCATTATTTTTCTCAAAAATCTGAGTAGTTAATATTTTAGAGCTTTGGGAATGCTTGCAGTTTTAAAAACATTTTGTAAACTTGGCTTTCCCAGCTCAATTAAATATATAAACTTTGTGATCTATTTAATATAAACGCTATAACTGATTCCCTTTTTAAAACTATTTAAAGCTCCATCTGCATCAGGAAACACTATGAATTCAGTGCTGCAATAATTAATTTTGGTCGTGTTCCCCCCCTCTCCCCCCAATTTGTTCTTTTAATTGGTGTGGAAATATCAGATTGGTGTTGCAAAATAAAATGAATGGATGGTTGCTTAATGAGAAAGAAGTAAAGGAATAAATGCCTCCTGTCTGTGTCTGGAGAAATCTGAAGATTTAGATTCCTTTTTTTCCAATAAACTTTTGAGCCACTGTACTGTATATTATGAGGAGGATGCATGTTCTCAGATACCTGACTGAATTCAGAAGGGTAAGGGCTGTGAAGATAATACTTCAAAAGTTGTTTGAGTTTGAATTACTAAAGGTGGGGGAAGGGAGGGTGTTTTGGTTTTTTGCCAATATATTTTTCTTGGTATTTGCCTTTTGCTGCTAAAATGTGTAACCTGAAGGAGAAGCAACTTTTGAAGTCCTGTTGGTGAGATGACATCCAATATTTGGGCATCTCTCTTTAACCCTTGAATGGAAAGTAAATCTTCATTTTTCTCCTGTTCCTCAAGTGTAATGCCTTTGGACCCCTGAATGAAGTATTTAAGCTTATTGAGAAAAGTGATATTTTCGGTTTATTGACATTGGCTAGGAAGCAGTGTGTGGGCTGAATTCTTATCCCATCCCTGCTGCTGACTCACTGTGGGTTTCGGCAAGTCATTTAATCTGTGTATGTTTTCCCATTTGTAAATTAAGGATAGTAATACTTCCCTACCTCACAGGGGTGTTGTGGGGGTTCTTACTTTGTACAGGGCTTTGAGGATGCAAAGCGTTTTGTGCCAAGTATTATTATTCTGCTCTCATCAAAATCAGTGTTGTGCAGGCTTCCATGATATTGTAATATACAAAAGTCAAATTCAGGTGACAGATATGACATCTCCTAACATTGACTACACTTCACTTCTCACAACCTCCCATAAGTTAACTACAAGAAACAATATAGATTTCAGTCAATACAGTAAAAAGAGCCCTCCTGGATATTTGCTGTATTCATGTAACACTTTTATTCTTTCATATATAAGGATCTTATGCTTTACAGAAAGTGTAAAGCTGGTAACAAGACACTACTTAAGTTTTCTAGAAGATTGCTTTTTCTTTTGTATCACTGCATGCTATTTACAGCCCATTGGCTTGTTCTCCTTTCTTAAGAAATCTTCAATAAGCAACAGGGTATAATTAGAATAAGGTCATAGCCCATGTTTACCAAAAAAAAAAAAAACACAAAAACCAGAGGAAAAGAAGAAAAAACAGAAATAGAAAAAAGATTAAAACCTATCTCTGTCAAGAGTAATGAGTGGTAAGGATTTGGTTCTCTTTGAAAGTTTGACCTGATATTGCAAAAATCAGTTTTTGCTAATGATCTGCAGTGGTAGTATCAGGTGACCGGTGAGACTACCTTTTTGTTTAATTAGATATTTGCCTGAGACAACCAGTAAATACACTGATAAAGCATGGGAGTGTGGGGGATGGCGGGAATACCAATTTGTAGTTTAAGTTCATCATTGTAGTGTTTACTCAACATAGATTTTAAATATTTTGGAAGGGCCTAGATGTTTCATCTGGGTCACTTATAAGTAATTGAAATGAATAGTTGGTATAATTCCACCTTCTTTTAAAATACAGCCATTTTCTAGTAATTCAGTGTTCATATCTAGCCATATTGGAAGCCCACTGTCTTAAGTAAATAAATAAATACACATGACTTATCTCCTGTGGAGTAAATAATGCATACCTCTCTCTTTTAGCATGAAAACCATGCTGGTATTTCAGGAGAACGTTATTTTAAAAGTCTTATCTAAATAATCACAGTGTGTATTAAGAAATTTACACAAAGTTAATTTTACAACTGTACTTAATTGTATTTTGAATTTGAAATCCTAGATTATCACTGCACAGATTTAAGAGTTTCACAAAAGGTTTGGGAGAGAACTTTGTTCAGCAATGAAACAGTTTCTTTTAATGTGTTAAAATTATGTTGTAGAATTAAAATACTGTCAGTATTTACCAATTCACCTATTTGGTTGTTCTGTCACCAACATACTTCCATAGCTATAGCCATGAAAAACAATGTCAGCAAACCAAAATACTTTTTTTTCAATGCAGAAATTTTTTTTTTATCTAGTTAAATGTCACTAAATCTATATTCGCATTCATTGGGTCTAAAGTTTTTTTTAAATTCTAAATCGACTTTCAGATGACTTTGTAGTACTACTGCATTCACTTTTTAAGTAGGTTTTTATTCTTTGCATAGGTTTTTGTTTGTTTTTTTTTTTTTTAGAGATAAGCACTGCATTTAAAGCAAGAATCCCCAAACGTGTAAATGTTTTACTCTTGCAACTAAGCATTTAGAATTGGTGAAGGGTTGAAAAATATAGCTCATTTTAACTCAGAATAAAACCCCAGTTTATAAATAATACAAAATTGAATTTGATGCATATAACAGAGAGACTGACTGATTTAATTGTAATAAACTGTAAATGGTGTTGCACAGTTGACAAACCTGTGTGTACTGTAGAAGGCCAGAGACTTGGCAGAGGATGTATCACAGGTGTACTGGTATTTTTAAAAGGTAGCTTGCTTTGATTATAAACTCCACAAGAAATATTAATGCTGAGAATTTTCTTGAATGTTTTATCCAAACCAACTGTCACATAATTTATATATAAATTTTAATACCATTTAATCAAAATTGTAATCAGTATCAAAATGCTTTAAGAGTCTGTGTTTCTAGTATACCTGTAAAGTGGTGAGATTGTGCCACATAAAATATTTATTTTTATTTTTGCTTAGTTTTGAAACAGCCGTTTTAATTTAAACAAATCCCACTTAGCATGAAAAAAAATTCAGGGAGCATGTGGTCTCATTTACGTTACAGTAGTAATTTTTCGTAGTGTTATGAACTGTATCCTAAATGATAGGCCATTTTTATGATGTGAAAGTAAATCATCCCACAAGAAAGATTGCTAAATCGATGCTATCTGTGAATATTACACCTACTGGACTTCATTTTATGTAATGGCACAAATCTGACTTTGCACTGAATACCTTTCTCACTTTCATTTCCTCTGCCTTAGTCAAAATGGCAACAGTACAAAAACTTTCTCAACCTCAGAATTTATTAGCTATAATTAAGCTGTTGAATGAGTCTTAAAAAAAATATAAAAAAAAAAAACATACTACTGTTAAGTGGACCAAGTTTGGTGAAGGAGAATGTGAGAGAATGATTAAAGAAGGAACAGCTCAAGAACATTGGGAATGATAACTTTCCACTTGAGAACTTTTTTATGTTTTACTGTAATTTGTTTGTGGTTTTGGGTTTTATTTTTTTTGTTTTGTTTTGTTTTTTGGGTTTGTTTTTGTTTTGTTTTGTTTTTGCAAAAGAAAATAGTATTTACAGGTGGAT